CACAGGACATCTGATAAGCACTACTAATCAAGTGTATACACACTAACTTATCAATATAAACTTTTTTTTAAGCTTCCTTGCTTACCTTTCAAAAAGTCTGGATGACATCCCTATCCCATGGCATTTGAATGTATTACAGGAATAACGCCTGTGTCACAGGCTGGAAGAAGCAGCAGTTTTCTGAGCATCTCCATTAAAGCAATTGTGAGTTGTAGATTAAAGGAATCCAAAATTGTATTCCGTGTATGAGTCTTTTCAGTCAACCTAAGAACAAATTTGACAGAAGGTCAGGAATTTCCTAATTAATTAATAAATGAGATTAGGAGAAAGAAGGAATTGATAAAACATATGTGCCCAAAATAATGTCTACTGCTAAATTTTTCACAGAAATAAGCAGTTAAACCTCCTGCACTTTATTTTCCTCTAATTAAATTTGGTGGAACCAGAATATCTTGCTCAAGATCTGAATTAAAAAAAAGTTTTGGTTAATTTTTTTTCCTGTCTTTAGCACACTAAAAAAACTAGAGACATAGACTTACAGTAGGTAGAGAGAGCAAACGGAACAAAATTATTTTATAAAATAAACACACTTCAGGTCTTTTCAATCTGCTTATTGAGATGTACAGTTTCTCTGAATGACAGTGACCAGAGTTGATCTGGATTAACAAACCCCTGGAAAGAAAAGAAAGGTCTTAAAAAACAATACCTTGTAGAACAACAAAAAGTGACAAATCATTTTTTAATGTATCTTAAAAATATGCCTTTCTAGGAAACACGAAGTTTAGTGTGAGCACACTTGGAGAACATGCTGAAAAAGAATTTAAATAGGATACATATCTATTGTGTAAGCAGTTTAATGAGACTTACTTTAAGCCTCGTTGATCTGGCTTGGGCAAAATACACCATCAGACTACATCAGCAGGTACAGAAGTGGAGCAAGCTAATCCTGGAAAGGAAGCCTTTATACTAAGAACTGTTGTGAATTTTACAGAAACTTACTCTGTGGACTGCTTAAGTGCTAAACAATCTTTTCCTTTTGGAAATTTTCCTTGGGAAAAAGATGGTTGCCACTAGGATACAAGTTTACATCATTTTAATGACAATGTTTACAGGTAAATATTTACTTTCTGTGCATTTTTTGTGAAATTGTAAGTGCATTTAGACTGTATTGAATGTGTAGCATCTATCCAAGTTGCATTCTTGTGCTTGCTTGATATTTATTTAGTGTCAGAGAGCTGGAAAGGCAAAAGGCTATAAACAGATTTCTAACCATAGATGTGTGTCAAAAGTGTAATTTGGATAATACTTTCATAAGTGTTTAATCAAAATGAAAATTAGTGGTGTTTAGCAGAATTATTCTTGAATAATTGCTTTTGTCATCTTCCTTCTGCAGGAAACCTTTTGTGCTAAATTTGAAACAGGGAGTTTAATTAAGCAGTTAACAGTTGGAAAATAGGCACCATATAGTAATAATGGATAAATGAGAAAAGGGGACAGATGAGTGATGCTATAAAACTGACTCAAAGGAACTGTTTCATCTCTGTTTTGACTAAAACTTCACAGGCTGGAAAAGAAATCATCTATAAAAATATGATAAAAATATTCACATTATCTGAAGTTTTAGGTCAGTGTGTAATATATTTAGAAGAGAAAAGGCTGAATGACTCTACTTTACTTTTTGCTTTAAAAACACAAATATGCTTAGCTGAGCTAATGCATGTAACCACTGAAAAGAAACATCTACTTACATTTACTTTTGGTATGTCTTACATCTTTTGAAAATACTTTTTTTTACATGCTAACTTCTCCAACCTGAGCTATTTGAACTGCTTATACAGTTCTATAAATATTGACTAATCCTTTTATCTAGAGTGCTTTCATCTTGAGTGACAGTGGTCTTTGCTCATATAGCAATTGGCAGATAACAAGCAATATCAACATTGCTTGCAAGAAGAGCTGACTTATTTATTTTTGATATGAAAAAATCACTTATTATTTGTCTTTTGGTGTGACCTAAATTTGGGTTTGTGCTAATCTTACTATGAAATAGTAAGCCTATATATGTAAATGTATACATTTGTGCATATATATATATATACACAACCTGATAAAAAAAATTACTTTGCAGCGTACTTTTAGTATCTTTACTTAAAAAATAAGCACTGAAATGCTTCTGAAATTACAGCTATTTAAATGGTTCTGTGAAAGTCACTTTGCATTTAATTAAGTTGGATTCAGTTTATGCATCTGTATCATCCTTTCCAGAGGCAAGTCACTATTGCAAAGTGTGACTCAGATCAAAAGTTGCAAAGCAAAGGGGATGTCTGGCAGATGCCATGGGATAATAAACTAATACAGAGCGAGAGGCATCACACATTACTGAAAATGCAACAGCTAAGGACCTAGCCATTCACTATGCTGATTTTTTAATGAAAGGTTTAACAGGGCATCTCAGTCTGTAAATCCTTAAGCACAGCCTGTCCACTCTGAGGCTCTATGACAAGGCTAAGTACCACTCTGATCCAACTGCTTGTAGGCTGGACTAATTTTTGTTTCTGACACAAAAACCCAAAAAAACCCGGCATTTCTACAGCCACCATATTAAGACTGACTCGTATAAAAGACCTGAGGACACATTGTCCTCGATGTCAAAGCAGAGAAGGGAGCAATATCAGGCAGGAGACGTACTAAAACATTGACCAAAACAGGAAACAGCTCACAGTAACTTCACTTTTCATACAGCAGAATAGCAAAAGCAGGACAAGTTGCTAACACTGAAATTGCCACAAACTGGACAAAGCAGACATTGTTCTGGCCTCCAGTCAGAATGGTTTGGGAAGTGCACTTCACTCTGAGAGAGTCAGAGCCAATGAGTCATATTTCTGCCAGATGCCACTACACATTAAGGTATACATAGACATCTCACATTGGAATAAAGATGAGCCTGGCTGGAAAACAGAGAGAGACTGTTGCTGTAAAACCTCACTGCCAGACCAGGGAGATAGCACTAGCTATGTTTGATAATATGAAGCTTCAAGTGGAAAGTCTTCTAATTGAAGACTGGTGAGTGAGTTGATCATGTTTTTATGTACATGCAATGACCCCTTCACTCTGGCTAATCTTTTAAGCAAATCTCACCCAATTCTCACTTCCCTTCTGGCTCTCCTGTAACTTGCCACTCTCCAAGATGGGTCTAGTTACAGCTGTGATTGAGTAAAGTGGACAGGCAAGGAATTAGCCTGAGTAACTACACTTATCTACTGCTATTTGAAGCAATTCGTTGTGGCTGAATGCTGCTCTGTAATTTTCCATGAAAAATGGCTGTATTTTGCTGTAAAAATGAAGCTTGATGTGAATTTGTACATAAATCTAGGTGTGGTGCCTGGCACACCTAGCTGCAACTCTGAGTCTCAGCATATCTCATCATCTGCTTTATGGGCACCAGTTTTGCTGTTGGGATGGATGAAATTTTATCTATTTACTTTGTGCTGATGATACTCATTTTAAAACTAACTGCAAAGTATTTATTTTTTTTTTCTCCTCTAAAATAACTGTGAAGGGAAGTGGAAATTTTAAGAGCTGCCCTTAGCATGAGTTATCAAAAAAGTATTTGGATATTTTGACTGCTTCCAAGGGAGATAAGAAATAGATTTTCCCTGACCCGTTGCATACATATCAGTCGCTTGATTGCTCCCTGAAGAAGTTACTGTAATTACCACTCTACAGATGAACAACAGTGCAGAGGGGTAAACAGATTAGTTTTACAAGAGGAACAGATTTGTTTTATTTTGTGAAGTGTGATCCAGCAGACCTATTTAGGTCACATCTATCAAATTCCAGGGTAGTTGAGATGAGGAGCTCTCCTTTTACCAGATATACCAGAAACCAAACATTATACAGAAGAAGAAATATGAGTCTGTATTGCCAATCTTCTACAGAAGTGCTCTCATCACCGATCAAACTCTGAGACACTTGAAAAAAATATCCCTTTCATCTTTCCTTACTTTATATTTTGTATAGAGGAGAGTTTAAAAAGCTCCACTATAGACACACTGTACCGGGAATATTCTGCTTGGACATGCAGGTTCCAACTCCTCTAACAGCTTTTCTCAGATCCTCTCAACCCAAGTGAACTCTCCTCAAAGCAAGAGCATGGCTGACAGAGCAGAAGTCACTGATGTCTTGTATTTGGAAGAACTGAGATCGTAGGTCATTTGTTAGTGACTGCAGTACTCACCTAACCCTGAAATGTGGCTCCTGCCCGCTCGATGAGGATGGGGTGCATCCCACTGCATCTTACCCAGGCCATCAGTAGGTTTAGGCTCTTTGGATTTCTTTTTTTCTTCAGATAGGCAGCTGGCTGTACATACATTTACAGGCGTGTTCACACACTTTCCAGTCTGACCCACCACATCATGCATCACTTTTAAGTCCTGCGACTCTCACTTGAAGATTGTTGCTCCAAGATGTTTCCTATGGGACCCGGAAATTACTAGTCTGTAATTCCTATACTGTTTGAATGAACATGAAAAAGAGGGAAAGACCAGCAGATCATGCACCAGCTCATCAGCATACTATATCATGGATAGGAATTAGAGCAACAATTCTTGGCTTTTTGTATGTGATAAATAATTCAGTTCCTCACAAAGCATTCTAAATTTCTACCTCAGGAAATGTGGGAAACAATCTCTTGATTGCATCTGATGATGTCTATCTTAATTTCATCACATTATCCATAGCAAAACTGTCCATTTGTTTGATTCTTTTCTCCAAAGTGTGATTATCAATAAAGTGTTTATATAATACTCTGCACAAGGAACCCATGACAAATGAATGGCATACTATATTTAACATATGTTATACTTGTTAGACTATCATATATTTTATCAAGGCATTCCCCTCTAATAAAAGATAATTTAATAAAACACACATTATTAAAAGAGTTGTTTTGGGCTCCAGTTATTCAAACCAGAATGCCTAATTATTTGTTTATTCTTCAGGTACTCACTGTGATGAAGACGTCAATGAATGTTACATGAACCCTTGCCAAAATGGTGGAATCTGTGAGAATTTTCCTGGGAATTACACTTGCCATTGCCCACCTGCAGACAAAGAAGGGATTTTTTACGGTGGCTGGAACTGTACAGAAGTTCTTCATGGCTGTACTGATCATCAATGCCAAAACAACGGAATCTGCATCCCACATTTAAAAAATGGCCAACACGGATTCAGCTGCATATGCTCACCTGGGTATACTGGAATACACTGTGAAACAACAACCACGTTTTCTTTTCAAGGAAACAGTTTCCTCTTGTTGAAGAATCCCCTGACCCATAAAAAGGATTTTTTCTACAATATAAACCTGAGGTTTCAAACTGTGCAGCCAACTGCTTTTCTGTTTTACCGAGGGGAGAAAAGCACATTTGCGAAGCTGGAGTTACTGAATGGCTACTTACACTTATCCGTGCAAGTCAATAATCAGCCACAGGCTCTTTTGCATATTCCACATAATGTCAGTGATGGAGAGTGGCATTCAGTGGAGGTAACCTTGGCAAGAGCTGTTATTCTAAATTTGCTTGACAGCTCTTGTGTAGAATCATGTCTCAATAAAACGTCTGCTAAGATAGATAGCAATCCTGCCATGCTTGCATTTCAGAGCACGTTTCTGGGCGGCTTACCAGTGGGGAACATTAGCAGCAGCTCTCTGCCTAACACCTATAATATACATTCTGCACCTTCGTTTGTAGGCTGTCTTCAGGATATTGAAATAGACTTGAACGTTATTACTCCAGAGAATGTATCATCCGAGTCATCTTTAAATGTCAGGACAGGATGTGCTAAAAAGGACTGGTGTGACACCCACCCTTGTCAGAACAGGGGACGCTGCACCAACCTGTGGCTGAGCTACCATTGTGACTGCTACCGGCCCTACATGGGGCCAGACTGTGCAACAGGTAAGGGAGGGCTGCTGACAGTTGTGTTTTAAGTGGGTGCTGAAACTGTTTAGCTGGTGATGAAATGGCACGACTCTTAGGATCTCCAGAGCTTAATGTCAACCGGTAAGAAAGTGTAAGAGGTTAGTAGTAGCACACCTTTGCTGTTCTCTTGTTACTTTCCCAGGAAGGTTGCTCTTCAGCCTGAAAAAAAAAAAAAAAAAAAAAAAAAAGTTAGGCTAAACTGGTGGATTCCACTCATCTTGTTTTAAAATCTTCTTAGTGGTCTTAGCACTCCATAAACTCTGAAAAACTGTAGTTCACAGGAGGTTATCCATGCTGAGTAAAATTTAGAAGGCAACCAAGTCACTTGGAGTTAAAGACTTACTTTCAAAGCATTCTTTGAAAATTTTTATCCTCAAGCTCTCTAGGCTTTTATAAAGAGACTCATTTAAGGCAATGAAAGGCAAGCAAAAGTACTGCAAGTTAAAAAAGGACAGATTCCAATTTTAAAAAATTAATGAGATTATACTATTAGCTTAATCTGATTAGCCCAAGGAGCAGGCAGGGCTTCAGTGGCTGGAGACAGGGACCATTCATCTTTCAGCTGCTCCAAGACAGGGCTGGACAATCCCTAGTGCAGGCGGTGATTCCCAGGGAGCTGCACTGGGACCGGAGGGAAACGTGTCCATGTGAAAGGGAACAGAAGAGCCCATCTCAGCAAACAGCCTCTGTGGCAGTGACAGGTAGGAACACAAAAGCTGTAGGTGCCTGTAGCACTTTCCCTGCTACAAATAATCTTTCCAAGTGCAGGCTGAGACAAAGTGCAAGGACAACAGCAGGTCCCTGCCTGTGCTGCATCTGGTGGGGGAAGCTCTCTGGAGCTGTAAACACAGCAACCCTCAGGAACATTTTAGGGTGAACTCTGCAATTCTTCCTCAGATAAAGTTTTAGGAATTTCAAGCAAGCGGTTTTGTTTAAGAAAATTGTGCAGGACTCTTCTGTGCAGCGCCCTTGCTGCTGCTCCCCCCTGTGCCCCTACTAACCACCCACACGTGGTCAGCAGAGCAAGGTTTGGGGAGCAGGGAATACACACGCACATACACATATACACGTGTACCTGTGTTTATGGAGATACGTTTGCCAAGTGGACTAGGAAAAATTAAGCACAACAGCAGTGCCATGGTCAGATTGGAATGGACAGATCCTAAACCGGTGTAAAGTGGCACGGCTGCGGTGCCGCCAGTGAAGCTACACTGATTTACATCAGCTGAACAACTGGCCTCAGGGGCTTATTGAATGCATTGCTGCAGAAAGCTGTGGCTCCAAATACATTTCAAAATGTTTAAATACAATTTCATTTTGTATGCTATACCTAATATTTATCAATACCTTTAAATAGTTTTTCTTTTTGGCTTTATTGCAAAATGACAAAGTCTGAGAGGTAATTGTAACAGACTTCTTTGAAGTCTAGCTGTAATTTATCCAAAGATTTGGAAGGCAACTTTGGAGTATAGGACAACATCTGGTAGATATGTTTGCCTCCTTATATGAAGCAAAATTAAAACCAGTCAGGGCCAGGAGTGGCTTATACTGGCATTAGAACTGTTGAGAATGGTTAGAAAATAATGCCTTTTTTTTTTTTTCCTGCTGACCACAATATTCCTTGCTAATCATGGCACTGTGCCGTTTTGATACATAGGTTCTAGATATATGCCATATTTAAAAGACTGTGGCAGGTTTCTTAAAAAGCAGAGTTGCGGAGACGTGTGGTAAAGGATAACATAAGAAATGCTGGTGTCTTTCTGAAGAAAAGTTGCTGCCAAGTATTTAATTGACAAGAGGCAATATTTTCTCTACATATACAAAATAACAAACAGATGTTGACTCATTTTGATCAACATCCAGATGTTGTGACCCAAGAGGTTAATATTGACCAAGGTGATGCCAGTCATCTCATCAAACAGATCAGACTGATGATATATGTGATATGATATTTATAAATAGAGAGAAATGAAACAAAGTCATTGTAAACATGAAATACCTTTTTGAAGATTAATGGTTCTTTCTAATATTGCAGTTGTGGAATCCTCATTCCAGCAGAAGTTTTCTTTTTACCCTCACGAAAAGATGTTTCAGCCTCTGGTACCACCTTACAGAGAACATATAACTTAAACTGACTTAATGCCTCAAAACACCAATTTCAACATGTATTTATTTCTACATAGAAGACTTTTAATAAGCAGATGTAGATATATAGGAAACGTTATCCATGGAAATAAACTAGTTCAAATTTAATTATGAAATTGTCTGCTTAGGAGCAAGTTAGGATTTATTCCTGTTGCTAAATAATGTGATCATATCACATAGTGCAGTGTGGTCATTAAGGGTCTGTTGGGGCTTTACAGTCAGTCCCTATTTTCACTGTTTTTTTTAATGTAGCCATAATAAAAAGTAGTGCTGCAGGCAGAAAGCTGGCCTGTGAGATCTCACTCTAGGAGTTTACTGCACAACAGAGGACTGAATCTTTAGCTATGTGAGCATTTAAAAACAAGAGCTGGGTTTATTCTTTCTATGAATTGGATATATTAAAAATAGCTCTTGAAATTATTTAGGCAGGAAGTCTATAATATTGAGGACAAGATCACAAAACAGTGCAAAAATAGAAACACTTTGTTGTTTTTTAATGAGATGATTCATCAGAATAAAATACAGTTTTGGCTACATATTTTTTATCCTTACAAGTCTGAAAATCATTACTGAAAATAAGGAGTAAGGGAGAGAGACAGATGGTTTTGGTTTAATAATTTTAATTGATAAGCACAAAAAAAAAAAAAAAAAAAAAAAAAAAAAAAAAAAAAAAAAAAAAAAAAAAAAAAAAAAACAAAAAAAAAAAAAAAAAAA